GTGTCCGAGCTGACATTAAGTCGCAGCGTGCCCCTTCCTTGCCCATCACTTTTAAATGCCATCGTCGTGCCTGCGTGTCTGTCTTGTAGATGCGGCGCTGGTGACCTTGCCCCCAGATGCTGAGGTGCCTGCACCCCTGGCGGCCGCTGCCGAGCTGTGGTGGGAGCGGACTCTGCCTTCTGAAGCGGTGCCTCTTTACAATGAAGGTGCAGTCCCCGGAGTTCCAGTCCCTGTTCACGGAAGGACTGAAGTGTCTCACAGGTGAGCGGCGGTGCTGTCAGTGGAGCAGCACGGGGCTAACGTGGACGCGCCAGCGTTCAAGGCTTTTGGCCGTCGCCTGGCTGACGAGAGAGGCCTACTACGTGTAACCCGAAACGCTAGCCGAATCACGGGGCAAGAGATGACTGCAGTGAAAAGCACGGCTTTTCTGTGTGCTAGCCAGGTGCTGACGTACAGAGCCCGCCCGGGCTTCCAAGCCTCATGAGTAGGTAGTTTCCTCTTGTGTTGTGGACGAGGAAACAGGCTGAGGAATGTGAGATGCTTCACCAGCGTTCATATAACTGCTACCTGGAGAGCCGGGCTTCGAACTTGCTCAGTCTGATTTCAGAACCCAGCCGGCAACCACTGAGCTGTGTCCCCCCGAGTGGAAGTGCTTTCTGAGAACGAGACAGCAGGGAACAGGTGTGTCCCCCCATGAGTGCACGTGCACACCTCACCTGGCAGGCACACGGGAAGTGGCTTCAGCTGAGCCTGCCAACAGCTGCTCCGTCGTGCTCGCGCCCCAGCTCTGTCCTTACACTGCTCAGTCCCAGCCACTGCCCTTGCTGAAGTAGCCACACAGCGGCCTTTCAAAGCCGGGGTGTTTTAGTGGCGCCTCAGAAGTATGTTAAAGCATATGTAGGTGGAAACAGGACCTACGCAGTGGTTTGCAACCCTGACTGCTCATCAGATTCACCTGGGGAGCTGTTAAAACATACAGATGCTGGGGACCCACCCCGGAGCTGAATGGCAATCTATACATTGTTTTGAAAATTCTACTCCCTTAATTCTGATGCACAGAAGGTGAGGAATCACTGCTTTAAAATGACTTTGCTTGTATTCGCGTTTTCCTACAGCTACTTTCCTATTCTTGAAATTAGATCAGGGAAATGCTCCAGAACCTGATTCTTATAGGCTCTTCACCTGGTCTTGAAGTAGAGGGCCTAAACTTCATGCTTTACTGATTATTAATTAGAGTGGAAAATGCTAGAAACTCACTGCCCAGTAGAAATACATATAGTATGAGTCACATACGCATCGTAGACTTCTAGTAACCACATTAAAAAGGTAAAAAGAAATGGGTGAAATTTATTTTTTAGTACATCTCATTTAATCCACTATATCTAAGATATCATTTTAATATAAAGTGTAAAAATTGTTAATGAGCTATTTCACTTTTTTCCTTCCTTGTAAGTCTGAGATCTATTGAGCATGTGCAGACCATCTCAGTTCAGACTCGTCACATTTCAAGTGCTCAGTAACCACACGTGGTTCCTGTTGGAGCATTAGGTCTAGCGGCTCCACCTTTGAGTGGAATTTGAGCTGGTTCTTTCCCCTCTCTGGATCTTCCCATCTTCAATTGCAAGAGGCCTTTTGGATGAAAGGTGTCAAATGGTTGGATGTCATCAGTAGTTAACTCTTGATGGCCTAGTTTAGATCCTTCTGCATTTTTCTTTTGGAAACAAGGCTCTGGGTATTGATTACTGCAGGTCTTGACATCTTTTATTTTAACTGTTGCATCTGGCTTATTAACCCTGACTTCAAGAGCTGCACTTTCTCCACCTGGACAGGTGAAGTCCTCAGGAAGCTGGGAACTAAGGAGTTTGGTAAGATAGAGGTAGTATTTGCGCCCAAGGTCATGTCCTTGGAAGACTGGAGGATAGAACATGGACCTATTCTAAAGTTGACTTTCTAGGCTGCACTGGAAGTGGCAAGCATGGAATCTGAGTGAAGTGCTCACCAGTTAGAAAATCAAACAATTGCTTTTATTTCGTCTTTGCTACTTTCTAAAGACTTGGGTGTCCTAGTAAAATACCGTATTTCCCCATGTATAAGATGCACCCTTTTTCGAAAAATTTGGGGTCTAAAAACTGGGTGCGTCTTATACAGGGTTGTAGGTTTTTTTACAGTGCTGAGGAGTTGTATAAATTTTATGATGNACCCCTTTTCACTCTGAAGAGAGGTCGTCTATCCCAAGAAGCCATGTCCCAAATGATGCTGCACTGTGGGTTCATTACTGTCCTCACACCTGCAGGGACATCAGAATCCCCAGGAAACCACGAGGACAGACACTGCAGCCTCGTCCGCAACTCATCACTCTCTGGGGAGGGGATGAGGCTGGAACTCAGGCTTCCGTAGTTTGCAAGGCTTCCCAGGTCACTGGATGCACAGCAAACATGCCACCACTAGGCTAAACCTTCCGAGGGAAAGAGAACACCGCGCTAAAAGTTACAACGTGGGAAAGGTCAGTGGACTACAAAACGATACGAAGCCTGTTTCGTTTTCAGACGCTCCCATAGCTTTAAGACGCGCTTTTCTTACCCATCCGACTGTGTTCTCAGCTCCAGGACTTTGAACCTCTGTCTTCCAACCGCTTTCACTTTCACTATCTCAATTCCAAAGTCCTGCTCTTCTCGGTAGGCGTAGATCTCCGCCGTAGTGCCAAACTGTGCTTCCCTTTCCTGGATGTTACTTCCCAGGCAGATTTTTAAAGGAAACAGTTTTGAACATTTAGTTTTTAAATATGCAAAGCTGACAAAAGCAATACATGTGGGAAAACAATTTACAGTAATCAACCCTCACTGCAAAGCGATTATAATTGTATTTTAGCATCCTATGGGGGAATTTAGACACACAAGGAGGCTTCAGAAAGTACAAGGGGAGCACTTTCAGGAAAAGAACAGATTTCGTCCCTGAGATGATGGAGGACTGACAGGGGTTAACTCCCTTCCCCGAAGCAAACAGTCCTGACTGAAGCAAACGGTCCTGACTGCAGCAGCTGGCACCTGGCTGCTCAGCCCTGTTCTGGGCCGGGACTTCCTGTGCTCGCTTCCTGCCTGTGGCCGGTTTCAGCCGGTTAGCTGACAATCACCTTCAGCCCATGGTCTGCAGTGCGACAGCTTAGGGGTTCTCAGAGGGAAACAACNGGCCCCAAATTAAGGTGTGTCTTATACATGGGGACATATGGTATAATGTTCTGTATGAAAAGGATACAAAGACACATGAAGAAAAAAAGATGGCTGTTGGATGGTGATGCTGTGCAGTTGAATACTATACGAGTTCTCAAATCTTAATATAACAGCTGCTTTGCCACGTGTAAAATTAGTTTCCAGTATGCAAGAATTTGGGCGTTAGGATACTGTATTGTGCTCATACGGCATTTTATCATTGGTCACTTTATTTCATGTAATTATAACTTCATTTTGCCTGAGGAAACCATTTAATGCCAGGGGCATATAAGTTTATCTCCCCATTCTGTGTATAAGCCTGAAGTTGCAAACGTAGTGATTTTTGCCTGAGTTACACTGTTAGTGGACGAGCCAGGGCTGCTGTGGCCACGTGGGTGTCATCCATACTCACAGCCGGATGACAGTGCTCAGTTTCTGTGATGTCAGAAAGTCGTCATACTCACATTTGGGACAGTAGGAACAGCTGACCACTCCGGGAAACACTGAAGAACAGATGGTTTGCTTCCTGGTGGTGACAGTCATCCCACGTAACGGTCTTCCCACTTACACTTCCCACACGCTGTTCGTCCCCCACCCTCCAACACTCAAAATCCAAAATTGTAAAGGGAAGAAGTTAATGAAAAGTAAAGTAAAATTTAAAAGATCAGAGACAGTTATCCAGGTTGTCTGATGCGTTCATGTCGTGGTCTTTTGGTTGCTGATGAGAATAAGTAACAATAGCTTGCTATCAAATGTGGCAGTTGAAGCAAATTAACACGGTTAGAATGATGAGATTTTGCTGTTCTTGAGTCTTAGGCTTAACTTTACAATTAAGTTTAGTTGCATTAGGTGTTAGTTTCACTGAGTATGTATGTAGTTTACAAAATTGTTTGGAATGTGGAATGTATGTCTGTTTCTGGAAGATTGAAGGTGTCGGTAACTGAGGAAAAAGGGAATCTTAAAGCTTGATAATTCCTGCTGTTTTAGGTCATTATAAAATCATGCCTTCCTTAGTTTTTATGACTACTGTCCACCCAGGCACATACATACGCCTTCTCAATTGTATTAAAATATTAGAATTCTGAGGTTTTTGGAACTAGTTATCAATTCCCATAGGGCTAATGAAAATGATGAATAGCTTACTTTGAGTTCTGGGTCTCTTATTCTGTAATGCAGTTAATGTATTGGGTGACTTTGGCCTTACACTTGTATAATGTTTTAGTGGAGCCAGCATGGGAATCTTAATAGTGGTTATCTGTGCATTCTGTCTTGACCTTCATCCTGTTCAGGCAGGCTCAGGTGGAAGTAAAACTTGCCCACTTTTCACATTCCAAAACAGTTTCTTAGACACTATTTTGATTTGAAGGAAGAAAACCTTTTAAAAAACATACTTTCCAATGAAGCCCTTTTTTTTATTAAGCTAGGATATCACAATTCAGTTCCATTGTGAGCCAAGTTGGTGTGAAGATGGGTAAGAGGTTTTCTACCCTGAGAAGTGGGGAGACGAAAGGCATGAAGAGATACTTGTGATATGATTAGTGCCCATAAAGATGGCCTACTCTCGTAGCTTAGAATAAATTCACGCGGCTCCACCTTCAGGAGAGGCTCCCTCTGCTCAGTGGGGAAAGACGAGTGAAGGGGAGCTGGGTGCAAGTTTTCCCCGCGGTGGAGGTCATGACCAGCGTTCAACCGGCGAAGGGAGAGAGGATGGAAGAGGTTGACTGCGTGTGTGCAGTAAGGGTCTTATTTCATGAAACTTGTTTGCCAGCCCCTCCCCTCTGCCAACCCCCTCCCCCCAAGTAAGAGCGATGGCTCTGCGGAATGTTTTTCTTAGTGTGGGTTGCGCAGCGAGACGGTGGGTAGCAGCTGCCCAGACAGATAAATGAGTCAGAAAGGTGCTGAGGTGAGGTGACGGCGTGAGCACAGTTACAGAGGGGCCCAGGGGAGAGTGGGGGTGAGGCAGCTGGGGCAGGCAGACCCCTGGCCACTGCTGTGAGTGGTGGGAGGGGCAGCGGCGTGGCGTCGGTCAGCTGGTGACTGAGGGCCACGTATCTGGACCCTGAAGGCTGGATTTCAAGGGGACAGCTGTGGCCCTGGAGGCCAGGAGCTACAGAAGGGCACTTGGGACTCAGTGGGAGGGAGGTTCAGAGGCCCCGGACAGGGACAGATGAAGTGGCGTCTAGGAGTCTTGGCAGTCCTTATCCTTTTGCGTCACGGACCTCTAAATCTAAGGGAGACTGTGGACTGTCACACATGGCTTTTTATTTTGAGGGATGTGTCATCAGTGGGACCTGACTGGAGTTGTGGGTTCCAGGAGCACGAGCACCTGCTCTTGGAGAGGGCTAGTTGGGGAGGCTGCGTCCCTGTGGGAGAGCTTTGAGTTAAGGCCAGAAGGTGGGGGAGGGAGCAGTTCTCAGTTAGCAGGTCACTTTAGGGAGGCTGCAGAGAGTGCGGCTGAAGGCTTGGGAGGATGACAGCGGAGCGGGCTGGGACCGGACAGCAGATGACAGGAGTTGTGACGAGGGACACTAGAACGCTGATGCAGGTGGTTGAATGCTCAGGTCAGTGTCCTCCAGCCCCAGACCAGGAGGGACACAGCTCCTTGGGCTGTTGGTCCTTGCAGGGGGGCAGAACACTGACCATGGAGGACCTGGGGTCGTCTCAGTGGCAGGGCTTTAGAAAGGACTTCTTGTAGGACTTGGGCTTGTGTCACGTGGTCTTGGGTCTAAGAAGGTGAGAACACTGCGAGGCTGAAACTCGTAAGGAGCATTCCTGCCTTTGAACTGTTACGGGCTGGTGACCTGGACAGTGTTCACGTCTGGTCTGTTCAGACCTGGTGACGACGTGTCTCGTCTTGCTCCATCGTGGTCACACAGGCCTTGTCTGATGTCCTCTGCTGTTGTTCACATCCGACAAAACGCCAGCGCCGAGCTGCGCGTGCCAGGCCGGTTCCTGGCTGCCCTTCTCACCAGCCCCATGTGGCGTCCCGTGCGCACCTGGGTCCCTGCAGCGGGCTGGGCTGCGTGCTGGGCTGCAGAGGGGTCAGCTCTGGGTCTCCTGGCTGAGGCCCTCCCAGGAGCTCCGGGGCACAGATGGCTTTTAGGAGCAGAGACAGGAGCTGGTCGTAAACATCAGATCAGATCCATTTGTGAAGGACTCTCGCCGTGACGTTTACCCTGAGGGCTGTGGCAGGCGCCTGTGTGAGAGTTTCAGAGGTTCACGCACGAGCATGTCGGAGAGCACCTCGCGTTTCTAGCATGTGCACATAGGCCTGGAGATGGAAGGGTTCTTCCCTTTGCTCCTTGGTAATAGCTCAGACCTCCATCGTGACCTTGAGACAGTGTGGGTTCCGAGCCAGCAAAGCGAAACTGCCAGGCCCCGCTCCTCCCAGGCGGCAGAGGCCCTCCCCCAGCGGCGGGCCCTTCCTCTGGGCCGCCGCCTCCTGATGCTCTGGGGGTACGCTCAGTGAGTGCTCGCTGCAGCCTCTGACCATGCGCAGCCCACACCTGTGCTTCTGTGCTTCTCAGGAGAAACACATGGAAATAAAAGTGTTCTTTCTCATCGCAGAATTGTTCGTCAAAGAGAACCACGAGCTGCGCATCGCGGGAGGAGCGGTGCGCGATCTGTTAAATGGCGTGAAGCCGCAGGACGTGGACTTCGCCACCACGGCCACCCCCGCGCAGATGAAGGACATGCTTCAGGCGGCGGGCGTCCGCATGATCAACAACAAGGGCGAGAAGCATGGGACCATCACAGCCAGGGTGAGCGCGCCGACGCGGCCTGTGCCCCTCCGACACCCCACGCCCTCCTCTGCCACGCGCCGGCCGTTTTTATGGCACTTACCTGTTACCCCCCCTTTCCTGCGGTGTGTGGTGTTCGCTTCCGGGTTTGAAGGTGGCATCTGTTGACCTTCTAGACCACACCCTCCTCCGCGCCAGCTCGTGATCCCTTCCCTCGGCCTGAGGCCGTGCCCTGGTTTTTGGCTAAGTCGGTGTGCAGGCTGCACACCGGCGGCGCTCGTCTTCAGGCGGGCCGTGCGCTCTTCAGGCGGGCCGTGCGCGTCCGCCTGCGTTTCCTGTGCGGTGGTGTTTGCCTCTGCGGCTCATAGCAGTTTCCCTGCACGTGGCTTCCTGGGTGCCCTGATTGGCTCGGCACGTCAGACGGGCAGGTTCCTCTGGGCAGACTTCAGCGCACAGGCTCACTCCCTGTTCCGAGCCCTCCCCTGGGGCAGCCCTGCTCCCGGGGTCCCCTGCACCGGCCCCTGGCAGCTCCCTTGGCCTCTTCCTCACCAAAGAGCCTGTTTCCTGGGTGCCGTCGGGTAGCCTCTCTCGCTTCCGCCCTCCTTTTCCTAGTGTGAAACTTGAGACAGCCTCCATTTCCCGCGCTCTGCTGTGACAGCTTTGCGGCCTGGAGGTGGAGGCTGGGAACCATTTTCACTCAGAAATGGAAGTCTGTGTTTCCTACCTCCCGGTGCTGCCAGGGATGTCTGGGCTCAGGCAGGTTGCTCTTTTCTTTGTGACCTGATGGCTTGTCCTTTGGGAAACCTCTCTGTGGTCTTTTTCTCACTGGTGGTTTTAATTTCAGGCTGCCGCGCCTCGCGCTGGATTTGCTTTCTCTCTCTCTCTCTCTCCTCTCTCTCACGCAGTGGGCCTCAGGTCCTCTCCTGACTCTGTCCCCTTCGCTGGACGCTTCTCTTTGGGGGCCGTGAAGTTGGACGGACCACGGGGCTGATCTGGTTGCACCTTTTTCTCCTGTGTTATACTCTCACCTTTTATTCTACTTTCCATGAGATTGTCTTAACTTGATCATCCAGCCTTTCTATTATATTTGCAAGTTTGCTGTCTTTAGAATTCTCCGGAGCTTAGAACGTGTCTTCGGAAAGCTTCCTGTTCTTGTGTCAGATGCAGTATCTTCTCTTCCCTCCCTTAGGATACCACTTGGAGCCCTTTTGACAATGTCTTTATTTCCTCGGAGTTCTTCTGTCTTTCCTTTGGTTTCACTTAAATGGGGGTGTTCTTTGGCTCTCCGCTTGTGTTTCGTGGGCGTCCAGTGTTTGTGAAATGCGCAGGCCTTGTCATCGGGAGACCCGGAGGCATCCTCCTGTGTCTCCCAGGTTAGCAGCAGCTGGGTCTGAGCATTTAAAGCGCCCAGTGGGGCGGGGATGGGAGTCGGGGGTGCTTTTCACGGAGCCTGTTTTTGTTGTGCTGCCCCCTCCCGTGGTCACCCGTGAGTGGTGCCCCTGCTGTGCCTGTTTTTAGGTCAGCCTTTCTCCTGCGTTAGGGTCTGGCTCTCTGTCTGGGTGAGGGAGGCATTGTGGAGGTCTCACTGCTTCTTATAATGAATCTTAAACAGTCTTCACATTTCACCCCTTTCCTTCTCTCCTTAGAGATAACTTGTGTCCCAACCCCTGAGTCCTGGATTCTGCAGTGAGAACTAGCTGGTTTCTGGGAGGAGGAAGTACGCGATGAGAGGATCCTGGGGCAGCCTCCCAGTGGTCCCGCGTGGCTTCCGAGCCCGTGGGGAGCCCCAGGCTCCTGCTTGGCCTCAGCACCCATGTGCCGCCTGTCAGGGCGCGCGTCCCCTCCTGCATCCCGACAGTCCCTCACACGCACCCCCCGTCCCTCACGCCCAGCCCGTCTTTCACGCGCACCCCGTCCCTCATGCCCACCCCCCGTCCTTCACGTCCACCCCCTCTGTCCCTCATGCCCACCTGTCTGTCCCCTGTACAGTTCCTGCTGAGTGTCCACGCCTCAGCTGGCATGTCACTGTCACTGAGCTCCTTGGCTCCTCTTGCTGCGCTCTGTTGGGACTTCACTGATGATCACCAGTTAGGAGCTGCAGGACGTGTGACTGCTTCTTCCTGTCACCTGTGCCCCATGCCAGACACCCTGTACATTGACAGTCAGCTTTTTCCAAACTGGAGCCATTAAACAGCATGTCAGAGAGTCACCTGGTTTGACATCAAAGCAGCAGAACACAGTGTTTTCAGGGCTCCTCCCTGTGCCCCAGCCCTGGTCAGAGTTGCCTGTTTTGTATGTCACACTCATGGTTTTTGAATTAGGATGCGCTTATTACAGAAGCACTCTTCGGATCTGCCTCTGAATACTGTGCTAGTGTTCTGCCTCGGGCACATGTGCACTAGTTGACTTGGAAAGCAGGAAGAGAAGCCTAACTGTTAGGACTCATGCTTGTTTTCCAATCCACCCGATGATACAAAAAACTGATTTTAAAAAAACATTTACTTGCAGCTTCATGAAGAAAATTTTGAAATTACCACACTGCGGATTGATGTCGTCACTGATGGGAGACATGCCGAGGTGGAGTTCACAACTGACTGGCAGAAAGATGCTGAACGCAGGGATCTCACCATAAACTCCATGTTTTTAGGTAAGACGCGCAGGGAGAATCATGGTTTCGCTCGGCCTCAGGGCCTTCTTTCGGGGGACTCTGCATTCTGGAAATGTGCAATCTAAGAGCTTGCATTGGTTCCTAAGAAGACACAGTGTAGTGTGGTCGTTAGCAGACAGCTCTGCAGAACAACCCTGGCTTCAAGTCCCGACTCCGTCACTCACTGGCTGTGAAGTGAGGGTATTACTTCCTTTTTGGGGTTATTGTGAGATTACAAGAGTCAGTAATTGTATGTCCTAGCACAGTCCTGGCACGTGGACACATGCAGTCAGTGCCAACTTACTGACCACTCCTGAAAAGGTTGACATTTTCAGGTAAGGAAAATGCACACACCCGTGCACACTCACACCCGTGCACACTCACACCCGTGCACTCACACGTNCCTAAGTTAAAACCAAAAATAACCTAAGAAATGGATTTTCCATCTCACTGTGGAACGGAAAGGGAGATTTTTAACATTTCAGATAAATATACAGACTATAAATGAATCCAAGTTAAAAAAAAAAGTCAACGTATGAGCAACTCCTGCGAATCTTGATACTTCTAAATTAACTTAGACATTCTCAGACACCCCACCTGCTGTCCCATCTCCCCACCCAACTCTTACACCTTTCCCATCTCATAAACCATCGAACCTGAGGAGGAGGAAGGCAAAGGAAGACAAAACCAAGAGCCCATTTACATGAAGTTAAACACAACTAGAGAATACAGGCAGCTTTAACTTCTATATGCATTTCTTTCCTCATTCTCAAACACAATTTGAATATGCAAAGAATCAAAATACGCATTATCTTTCTTTCTTTAAAAATTATTTAAACTCTCATGATAGTAAAGTCATTTCCAGAACGCTACTTGAGAATATCACAATGGCAAACATCTTTTCATGAACTAGTGCCCACAAGAGGGTTGCACCTACGAGCTGTTTCTCATGGAGCTTTGTATCTCCTAACCTTTGAAATGTGGGATGTGCTAGCACAAAGCACTGTCATACTGACAACGTCAAATAGTATATATATTACAAGCCTCTGCTTCATTATTATATTCAGGAATTCTAAAGCGGTCTTTCATATTAACCACTGTCTTGACCAACAAAAATTTATGAATGAAATTCTGATATTTATTTAAATACAATAGTGAAGTGTGTCTGACAATATCTAGATTTAATTTAATGATAATATTAGACTCACTCCACTAACTTCATTTCTTCCCTGCAAGCTCCAATTTACATCTACATGACTTTGGAAAACGTTTTAAAAATGACTGCATTCAAGCTGTGTTCAGAATTTTCTTGTAAGCTCGCACTACAAACAAAGCCACTCTCAATTTTCTTCACCTAACACAGGAACACAAATACATGGTAATCATATTTTTAAAGCAAAAGTGTGTACCTTTCTACAACAATCTTCAGAAAACGGATTCCTCTTTAAGGTCATCAGTAAATGAAATTAAGAATTACATTTTACCCAACAGTAGCTGGGTAGTTACAAGAGTTCCGTAAGATTTGGTTTCTTATTACGATAAAAACATTACTGTTATTGGAAAGCCAGCTTCCTGACAGCGTGAACAGCAGCTGGCTGTGGTGCCGCTGTGAGTGGCCTGCAGGACTGAACGACCCTCCTGTCACTGTGAGCGCCCAGGTCTGAGGCCCACGGGCTGGTTCTTCTCCCAGCAGCTGAGTTTTGTTTTTAACATACTAAGCTCATTTCTTTCCAGCCTGGTTGGCAGTTGCTTGTGATCACAGTTACACTGATTTATATACACAATATAAATATATATATATATATATATATGAAATATGAGTACGAAAATAAAATTGCTCCAACAAATATTCAGTTGAGCCATGAAAACGCTTTGAAATTTGGTTCAGGTGATTCTAACAGGACCAAAGTGCACAGTCTGGAAGGACTCTGCACCCCGCTGCCTTGTGATTATCTGTAGAATCTGTCTTGAAATAAAGCTGCAGGTGTGAGCCAGTGGGAGCGGTGTACACACGACAGATGACCGTCACTCCGACCGGTCCTTCAAGAATGTCCCTCGTCTGCACCAATGACGAGTGCCGTGTGTGCACGCGCAGTTAAAATGCGTTTAGGTTTGCGTGTGTGGCTTTATCATCGCCAGTGTGAACGAGCTTTCTGACTGATGGTTACGGGCTCGTGACAGGTAAAAGGACTGCCAGCCCCGATGGGCTGCCCAGATCCTCTTCCTCTATCTGCTGAGCAACACAGGGACCCCTGAAAAGGCCGACAGGGATTTCATGACACACTTCCATTTTTAAAATTAATTTTTCAAAAAAAACTTCGTGTTCAGAAGCTGCCATAAAAACAAAGCCTGTTAACCTAGAAAAGGCGAGAAGGTAGCAGCGCCTTTTCATACATGCTGGGCTGTTTATGTGGAAGACAAATGACTCATAGCCGGGGTTCTCACTGGAGAAAACGGGGGGCTGGATCGCCCAGCGTGCTGTGCAGGAAGCCAGTCTGGTGGGAAAGCGCCTTGGGGACCTCACACCAAACAGCTCCGCTCACCAGCTGGGTGGCTGGGCAGACCCCTCACCTCTCCAGCACTGCGTTTGGTATTTGGAAAAAGAGGAGACTGCACTCGCTACGTTCATCTCACCATTCCTAGTGAAGGTGGCTGCAGGCCCAGAGGGGAGGGAGCCTGAGCGACATCNGAGCACACTCACACCCGTGTGTGTACTGTGTCGCCCTCCTTCCTCTGCACTCTTTGACGACATGTCCCCCCTCGGGGTGCCCACAGCATACACTGGCGTGTGCGCCTCATCTGTGCTGAGCCAGAAACAACCTCAGATGCTTCCACGCGTTGTATTCTGGGAGTCCCATCTTTAATCAGTCAGGCTGGCGTGTAAGAGCAAACCTGTGTATCATCTCAGTTTAATTGTTTGGTCAATGAAAGCAGTGAGAATCCTAATGGGAGCAGATGTGAATTAGGTTAGTGGTTTGGTACATAATTGAAGCATTATATTTTGTACTTTCAATTTTAGAAAAGCCTTTTTATGTTTAAGACTTTGGATTAGAAAAGAGGGATGAAGCATCCAGTACCATAACTCAGTGTGTGGGGCAGGCATAGCGAGAGGATGCGGCTCGGAGAAGAGGGCTGGGGGCCGAGGGTGGGGGTGTGTTTCTAACAACATTAATGGCAGGGCACGTCCTAGAGCGCCGGCGAGGTTGTAGGCACAGCGGGGCTCCCTCCTCATAGGTCATGTCACTCAACTCGCAGAAAATCTTCATGGAGTGCATGAAGCCCATTTGGCACACCCAGAAACCAACTCCGAGATGTTAAGTAATTTCCCTCAGGTCACAGAAAGCCACGGGTTGAGCCGGGTTTCCAGTGAAGTCTGGCCGGAGGGCGCCCAGTTGGTGGCATGTCTTCTCTCCAGCATGTGCTCAGACTCCAGGCGCGCCTTTCTCCTTATGTCCATCTTGCCTAATTAGTCCTCAGCTCGTGCATTCGGTACAGCCTCGTCACTAGATTCTCATCAGCGTACTTACCTAAAAGAGACACTAACGTGCTTGTGCAAGATGCCGTTTTGTACATGTCAAAGCTAGTCTTACCGGCAAGTGCTTTTCTAACACTGGCTGACCCTTCCAGTGTGCCAAGCACTGCTCTAAGCACATCACGTCCGTTTAATCTCCCCAGCAGCCCGATGCAGCAGACACGGGTTCACACACAGTAATTTGCTGCAAGTCACGCAGCCCGTAAATTGCAGAATTAGGGTTCCTGCTCAAGCAGCCTGGCTCTGAGGTCTCGTTCTTAACCACGGCCGTGCTCTCTCAGCAACTCAGCTTTCTCATTTTTAGTCATCGTATTTTAAAAGAATGATATTCAGAGCAAAACAAAGTATACACCAGTGATGCTCACTGATCTTATTTTTAGTCACTTTTTTGTCCAGGCTTTTTTCAAGCCTTATTGGATGAAAATTCCCACTTCTGGCATTCATGGTTACTTTGTTTTTCAAACCCTTATTTTTGCTTTTGTCAGATCCTGTTTTTTTTCCTCCAAATTCTGACCTTCCCTGAAAAACACCTTAGTATTTCTTTGTTCACCAGAGACAGTTAAGATTCTCTTCATTAAGTGAAATAACATTAGGAGACAGACAGGCCACATTTGTTATTTTGTAATCATACTTTAGTCTTTATTTACATTTTTTTCATTTTTTATTTCTTTTTGAATCTGGAGCCTTTTAAACTTGCTGTATGTATCAAAATGCCACATAAACCAAAACAGCCTGCGGAGGGTTAAGCCTGAGCTTACTGGTGCTGCATTTGGGATAATCAAGAGAGCGTTCAAGTTCCAGCAGCTCAAATGACAGGTGGTCGTGTGCTTCCTCTCGGATGCCACAGGATCAGGTGTCTGAGGATCGCGGACCTCCCCAGGCGGATGGTTGGATGGTGCCTGTGTCTCTGCTGTTTCTCTGGCTCTTACTTCGTCCCTACGGTGGCCATCTGTCTGTGTGCTTGGGCTGAGATGTTTCCTGAGACATCATTTTCAGTTTTAAAATCAGGAAANGTGGGAAAACTAAAAATTCTGTACATTAAGGCCAAGTCTATCCAGCAGTCTGATTCCTGCCCTTCTCCTTAAATATTGAGTGGTTTTAGTTTTGAATGTAAAATACTTCTGAGTATGAAAGTGTATGTTTTGTTCCAACGGCCCAGAACTACGACCCAGCTTACCCTAGAAACAAAAAGTTTCCAGGTGAGTTACTTACAGCATCATATAAGGAGTACAGCCAGCGAGGCCATGAAGTCAAATTTGCACAATGAAACTTTCTCTGAAAACAGAAAAAAATGTCACTTAATAATGTGACCCCACACAATAACGATTCTTACAGTGGAAAGAGAGCACGTGAGAAATGATTATGGCCCAGGAACAGACTTTCTAATTTTAAAAAGGTGAAAACTTTTGTAAACAATCACATAATAGATAATTATCTATTAAGTTTGACAATCATGTTTTTACATCCTTCAACTATCTACTGCAACTTAGAATCCTGATTCTTTGAAAAAGTTCAAATATTCCAATTTCAGTATTGAGGACAACCTAGTAAAAATAAGATGAAGAGTGACTAAACATCATACTTTTATTGACTGCATTATTAGCCTTTATACTAATAAGTACTTGTCCAGCATCCACAGTGAACACCTCAAAACAGAATCCAAACTGTCTTTGTGTAAAAACGTTAAGTGTCTCCTAACTAGGTCACTGTGGACGCAAAAGGACCATGTGCTTGTGATAACATGATCAAGTCCCCATGTCATAAAGCTCAGGGAAGGGGGAAACCACACGTTTCCTCCAGTTGTATTCTGGGGTCTGAATGGAAGCATGCCTAAGTCCACATAAAAGTGTGACGTATACTTACATCCTGGTAGAATTTCAGTATTTCATGGAAAACCTCAATAATTATGATGTCATCCCTCAAAGCACACATTCAATGCAATACCAATAAGACTGGAATTTAGAAGCATACTTTAAAGTTCTTCTGGAAGAATACATGTAAAAACCACCAAGAAAATTTGGGAAGTGTTATAAGGACACAACAATAGGACACATTACAGCAGTTCTGTTAATGACAACCAACGAAACCACCTAAGCATCGATCGGCAGTAAGTGCTTTAGAATATGTCCCACTCGGGAATACTTGGCCTGAGCAAAGAACACGGCATCAAACCTACATGTGAACACAACCACCTACATATGGACACATACTTGGAATCTTATAAGCTGTTAACACATGGAATTAAGTGGGAAAGGAGTAGGGTAGATCAAAAAGGTCTTTTCTGGACTAGAAAGGAANATCACAGCAGTATCTAATTTAGGCCAAGATCACAGCAGGCTTTCTGATGTGTGACAGAAACTAAACGTCTGCGTTTGGCACAGTGCAGGGACCCTGACGCCAGCACGCGCGTGTGTGAGCTCCTGAAGTACCAAGGTGAGCACGGCCTCCTCAAGGACATGCAGCAGTGGTCCATCCCTCCGTTCCCCGTGAGTGGCCACGACATCAGAAAAGTGGGCATTTCTTCGGGAAAAGAAATTGGGGCTGTACTGCAGCAGTTGCGAGAGCAGTGGAAGAGAAGTGGCTACCAGATGGGAAAAGATGAGCTTCTGGGTCACATAAAGCAGCCCCCAAGTCCGTGAGAGCTGGCAGCGTGGGCAGGCCATTTTGGGTAAGACTGGCTTTTGTTCCCTTCCCCTTGGTGAGATTTAAGGCCTGAACATGTAGCCCGCTAAAGCCAGAGTAGCGGACGTCTTCAGAAAGGCATGAAATAAGAAACAACGTTCCATTTCGGTACTAAGCTGAAGCCGGCCTCCTCTGCCTTACATCACTGAACTTCTTAATTTTTGTGGACCAGTTGGTGAGAAGAGCAGAGTTGGGCTTCACTCATCTGGTTTTGTTGTGTGTTTTATTGTGTGTGTGTGCGCACGCGCACGTGTGCGCGCACGCATAGGGCAGTCCTAACACTGATCTCAAACAGTGGTAACTTTTGAAGAAAAACTATTTCTTGGTGTTTGCAATTGAATTCACTGGGTTCATGTATACAGTTGTCCCTAAGTGTCAGTTCTTATCTGAATTCCAGAATAAACTTGTACTTGAAAACAGTTGACAGATTTGCATCAGGTGTCCTGCGTCCAGTTGGAGGACCAGCCGTATCCCAGGTGACTGGCCTGTGCACACCTGAACCTCGTTCTAGCTCCGCGTTAGCACGAGGCTGACCCTTTATTCCAGCATCACTGTCTCCTTAACTGTGTGTGCCCAGCCTGGGACACATTAGCCCGAGGGTGACTCTCGAGCCTTCTGACCGTGTGTAGCAGGTGCCACATATAAATAGGGACCTAGTCCTGCCCCTCTGAAGTAAATGCAGCGTTCAGGCCTGTCGCTTTGGTCTTTAAGGAGCTGAGTCCTGAATGCTCTCAGTGGGGAAGTAGAGGGTGTCACCAAGCATGTACCTCTGCTGCTGTATTCTGACACTTGGTAACTGAGTTTCCTTTCTGCACAGCCAGTCATGGCATCTTTGTGTTCTGTGGGCACACAGCACTGTTTCTATTAAAGCCCAGCTGAGAAGTGTGAAAAGCAGTGCAACGGGCAGTGGAGCAGGAAAGGGCGCCCCAGCACTACTGCACACAGGTCAGTAACTAAAGCGACTGTGACGTATCACAGCGAGATACCTAAGGACTGCTGACATCACAGAACGCCTGCTGGTCTATATAGGGGCTGCGTAGACTTAGCCGTTTCAGCGGTCTGGTCTAGTCATGTAGAAAGCACTGTAAAATCGTATTTATGCATATTTTCATGTTTTAGGAAGTTTATTTGCAAGTGAACAGCATTGAACTTCTGAGATTACATCCTTCAGGGACAAATGTAAAAGCCACAGTCCATCACCGCAGTGGGTTCAGGCTTCGGGGGAAAGAAAAAGACGTGCTGTGTGCTACTGCTGAAAAGGACTGGGCTCCACTCAGAGGACGTTTGAGTCCAGTAGGACTGTGAACACCAGCAGTCATACAACCAGCCCAGGGCTGGTGTCAGGCCGTAACCCAGGTCAGCGTCACACTCACAGTGAAGCAGGGAACACTGCAGTCAGGCGGGGCATGTGCTAAAGAACCGACAGCAGTCTCAAGTAGCTTTTCATTGACTTTACAGAAACGTGCAACGTGGTATTCAGTTGATATTTTCAACCTAGGCAATCAAAACCATTGCATGTTTGGTAAAAGACAAAATCTTGCTAAATTAAAACATAAGGAATTTAACAGTCTCTTTACCTGATTAGTTGAACTCTCCAGTGAATTATGTAAAGCAGTGAAGGAATATCAAAATCAAAGTTAGATCCACAAATGGGAGAATGGCCAATAAACCCTTGACTGTGTGAGCAGAGGCAGGTGGCTATCTACAATAGCACTTTACCTCAGACGTTAGTTCTTATACCTAAATTATCTGCTTATGAGTTTACATTATTTAAACAAAGAACACATTTAATTTAGTTTTGCTCTTAGTTTACTTACAGGTTTTCCTGAATTTACACTGAACAAGGCAGCCTAAAAATACAGTAGCACTTCTAGCCTGTATGACGGGGACGCACGGCGGCATCGCTGCTCCCCAGTAGTTTAGGTTCAAGTTAAACGGAGCAGGCCAACCAGTGTTGCGTTTCAAACACTGAGCAGATACACAAAGCACTATTCTTTTACTAACAAACATGTAAGACCATGAAAACTTTATTCTGGGGCTCAAACTGTGTATTTTAACTCTTTAATATTTTCAAAATTTACAAATCAGTGTCTCAGGAACTGAAAGTTGAAAGGAACAAAGTCTTTTGAAGTAACATACGCAGCCTGCCAGCTTTCAGGAAGGGCCACGTGCGGCGTGTGGCACCCTGGCTGGGGCCCGCCTGCCGTGTGGAGCAGGGACACACAGGTGCGTCCCGTGGGTCAGCATCAAAACAGTCTGCTCGCTGACAGGTCTTCATGTCCCATCA